GCGTCGACCTTTTATCTAATAAATGCACCCCTTCCAGAAGTCGGGGTTTGTTGCACGTATTAGCTCTAGAATTACTACGGTTATCCGAGTAGTAGTTACCATCAAACAAACTATAACTGATTTAATGAGCCATTCGCAGTTTCACAGTCTGAATTCGTTCATACTTACACATGCATGGCTTAATCTTTGAGACAAGCATATGACTACTGGCAGGATCAACCAGGTAGCATTCATCGATCACAGCAATTCCCCGACACATTCTCGCAAACGCAAAGGAAAGAGAGAAAGGACGAGGTTTTGACTGTCATCTTTTGCCCGAAGGACGGATGAGCTTTGGCGGGACTGAATCACTTCGAGTCACCGTCTACAACTTTTCCGCATCCGAGATTTCAACCGGCAACTTATTCACCAATGCGAACAAGGCAACAAATGCAATGTCGAGAGGTAAACAAGGGCCGATTTTTGTGCCCACGACTTCCCCACGAAGGAGATGCCGCGGACAAAGGTGTAAACCAAACTCAACAATACCTTCTAGTTAGGTACGCAACACAGGCCCCGGATCCGATCATCGAGCGTAACATCGCCCGTGAAGTAACTGAGAAGGATAGGTGGTAAGTAGTTGGGTGCGCGAGCACGGAGCCTACAAACACTAGCTATCCGATCACCACTCATACGCCGAACGTTCAATTGACCCAAAAACATCAATCGTTCCCCGACTCCTCCGAAATATTCGGCTGAGAAGAGAGAAGACGGACGAATCCAAGCCAAAGCCGCACAAGCGCGAAAAACCGTCGAGACAGCCTAGGCGGATCCATGCTTTCGCACGCCCATCCAACCTAGGCTGCGAATATCGGAGCCGCAGTGCGAAGGATACACACAAAACCGGGAGCCTCGTGTCACTACCAGCCGATATCCACTTCCCATCAAAAGATGGTTGCCAAGAACATCCGCAAAAGGTAAACTGGATGTGACGCCGAGAAACCCGCACGACGTAACAACCTGCGCGTACCTCCGTTTCAGTTCAAAGCCGCAAGGTGTCGATGCCCATGGGCGACACTCACACCTTGCTCAACTCGGGACAGCCTAGGCGGATCCATGCTTTCCAACGAAGCACGACCATCCAACCTAGGCGGGTGGAATCGATGCCCATGGGGACATCTCGGTATTTCGGGCGCATTCCGAATATACCGCCACCCACGGCCTAGGAGAATCCATGTCAGCCCATGTCATGACACGCCCATTCTCTTCGGCGACGGGGTGAAACGATGCCCGTGGGGACATCTCGGTATACAATGCGCTTTCCCAATATACCGCCACCCCAAGGCCTCGAAGAATCCATGTCATCCCACGCATGACACGCCCATTCTCCGCGACCACACAACAATTTTTGTCCGAGAACTGCTGCAAAAACTCAAAAACTGCGACAAAACCGATCGCCGGAAAAGTCGCCGGAAAAATTTTCCGGCGATAATTCCGGCGGTCGGACGGTCGGACAGTCTGTCGGTCATGCCACCCGATAATATCCCTCGATCGCTACCCACGTCCGGAACCGAGTAGGGAGGTACCCTCGGTCTGCCCAGACTTCACCAACACCCACCCCCCTATATAGCTTTTTGTCCATTTTTGGGTCTGGCACCAGTGGAGATGCAAATGTCTGAGGAGTCACTGGTGCCAAAAAAAAAAAAATACTTGGAATTTTGTTCTGATTTTTTGCATGCTTCATAAGGATAGTGAATCCTATTTTCTGGTAAATTTTCATAATTTTAGGAGACCTCTAGCTAGGTCTTTTGAGCTAAACCAACATCGGATGATCATGGCCTAGCCCGGGCTCCGTGGGCACATTTGATGCAAGCTTGACATCCTACACTCTTTATTGATGTATTTTAAGACTTTCGATCGTAAAAAACTTCATCCCGTACGATGATTTTCAAAAGTTGGTTCGGCACATACTATTTCCTCGGCCAGCCGGACGTCCGGATGCGTACTGATCGGCGATCCATCGTACTGATCGATGTTTTTTCGAGGATTCCACGAACGTTACTCTTTATTGATGCATTTTAAGACTTTCGATCGTAAAAAACTTCATCCCGTACGATGATTTTCAAAAGTTGGTTCGGCACATACTATTTCCTCGGCCAGCCGGACGTCCGGATGCGTACTGATCGGCGATCCATCGTACTGATCGATGTTTTTTCGAGGATTCCACGAACGTTACTCTTTATTGATGCATTTTAAGACTTTCGATCGTAAAAAACTTCATCCCGTACGATGATTTTCAAAAGTTGGTTCGGCACATACTATTTCCTCGGCCAGCCGGACGTCCGGATGCGTACTGATCGACGATCCATCGTACTGATCGATTTTTTTTCGAGGATTCCACGAACGTTACTCTTTATTGAGGCATTTTAAGACTTTCGATCGTAAAAAACTTCATCACGTACGATGATTTTCAAAAGTTGGTTCGGCACATACTATTTCCTCGGCCAGCCGGACGTCCGGA